TTTTTTTATTTTTAGTAGAGATGTGGTCTCACTCTTGCTCAGGCTGGTCTTGAACTTCCTAAGCTCAAGTGAGCCACCCACCTCGGCCTCCCAGAGTGCTAGGATTACAGACGTGAGCCACTGCATCTGGCTGTGTTATGTGAATTTTATCTCTAAAAATTGCCCAAAAGTTGCAAAAACAAAACAAAAACCCAGAGTCTTCCTGTGGCCCACAGGCCCCACACAATGTACCCATTACCTCCTGACCCCATCTCCTACTTCTCCCCTCTACTCCAGGCAAGCACCTGCTTTAGGGCCTTTGGACTGTCTGTCCCTCTGTCTGGAACGTTATCCCTCCAGAACCCCACATGGCTCCCTCTCTTCCTTAAGGTCTCTGTTCATCCCTTACCTCATTGGGGGCCACTGCTTACCCACTTCACTCACACATTTCTGCCACCTTCCTGAAGGGATGCCTTCTGCTTCTTACCCACATCTTTCCTCAGTGTGCGAGCCCCACTGGTAAGTTCTCTTCGCCAGGGCAGAAGGTTCTGCTGCTTTATCCCCAATATCCAGAGCAGGGCCTGACACCAACTCAGTCCTTGGGGAGTATCTGTCAAGGTAGAGGAAGGGAAGGTACCCACAGGCCCACACCTTCTTGCTCTCCTCCCCCTGCAGGTCTCCCACGTCTTCACCAACTTTGGCAAGGGCATCCGCTATGTATCTTTTGAGCAGTACGGGAGAGACACTCGTTCTTGGGTGGGGCACTATGGTGCCCTTGTGACCCACTCCAGTGTGAAGGTCAGGATCCGTCTGTCCTAACAACTGCCAGATTGGGCCTTCCAGGACACACTGCCATCTGCTGGACATTGTCATTCAAGCGTGGCTTTGCAGCCAGGAATTAAGAGGATACCCAGGTACAATGGCCATCCCACATGGTCTGTTCCCATGAACCCCACTTTCTGCTGCTTATGAGGTGGTACTTTCTGCTGCTCATGCTGTGTGACAAACCAGGGATCCAACCAAGCTACTCACAGTCCTCAGCTCCCCAGATGGGGGCGGTGTTGGAAAATGAGAGACTTGTCCTGAGTTGGTAGCCTACAAATTTTTTCCACCCATCTGGATATGAGTCAGTAGAAAGGCCAACCCAGATTTACAGTAGAGCAGAGGAGCAGAGGGGACAACTGCCAACAGGGGGCCACTGACTCTTGCTGGGGTAAGCTGATAGCTTGCAAGGGCAGAAGTCAGTTGGAGCACTCTGTCCTTGAGATCAATAAGGGCTTGAAAGGAAGCCTTTTCTGTTTTGGAGAATTTGGGATTTGCCCACTGGGGTAAGTGGCCAGCCCTGTGCAATAGCACCTGCCCTGCCCACCGGCTCCTCCTCTTTGGACCAGGCTGGTACAACTTCTGTCAGAATTCCTCAGAGCCGGCTGGGCATGGTGGCTCATGGCTGTAATCTCAGCATTTGGGAGACCGAAGTGTGGTGGATTGCCTGAGCTCACAGGTTCGAGACCAGCCTGAGCAAGAGTTAGACCCATCTCTAAAAATAGCAGGGCATTGTGGCAGGCCTGTAGTCCCAGCTACTCGGGAAGCTGAAGCAAGAGAATCACTTGAGCCCAGGAATTGGAGTTTACTGTGAGCTGTGACAGCACAGCACTCTACAGAGGGTGATAAAGTGAGATTCCTTCTCAAAAAATAAAAAAGAATTCCTCAGAGCCTCCCACTTCCTGCCCCTGCTCTGGGGTCAGCTCACTTCCTGCCAGGTAACACCGCCTTTTCTCTAGGACCCTCGAGTGCAAGGTGTGCCATGAAGGAAAGCTCTTCTGTCCCCCATCCAACCATACCACCATCCTCTGCCCTCTTCTCCTTAGCTACCTCTCCACATTTCTCCCAGTTTCCCAGCTGGGCATAGCAGACAAACTAGCTCAATAAAATTGGTGCCAAATATGAGATGGACAACTCTTCTGTATCAATACACTCATCTGTCTCCAGCTTTGATCCCAAAAGACCTTGTGGTTTCATGTTCCTAGCCATGAGAACTTCGGGAGTCTGCATGCTTAGTGTTATGCAGGAAATGGCTCCCAGAACCAAGAGGGCCGTGACACACCAGTTCAGTGGAGCTTCCAGCTCCTGTTAGGCAGGCACCTGTACCACTGAACTAACGTTCAGGCTCAGAGTTCCAATGACCTGCCCCAGATCCCCAACAGTAAGAAGGGGAGGATCCCCAACAGTAAGAATGGACCAGAGTTGGGATCCAGAATGCACTGAGATTAAGTTCACTTCCCAGATCTTAAAATCTAATGTGTTCTTGTGAGGTATTATCAGTGCCATTTTCCAAAGGAGGAAACTGAGGCCCAGAGGGAGAACTCACATGGTCAGGTCACAGAGCAATTAAGTAAAGCCAGGATTTGAACCCAAGTGTGTTTGACTCTGGTAATAATAAAAATAAAAGAACAACTCCCACGTATAGAGCAATACACCCCACTGAACCCTTCCAACACCCCTCCATATCAACATTACAATTACTCCCATTTTCCAGTAGACCAAGCTTGAGGGCA